GGCGGCGGCAGCGGTGGGGGCGGCGGCGGCAGTAGCAGCGGTGGGGGGAGCGGCGGCAGTAGCAGCAGCAGTCGCGGCGGCGGCGGCGACAGCGGCGAGTCGCCGACGGCTGTTCGCGCCGATGCCGTGGCGGGCAGCTCCGGCGGCGGCGCTCCGGCGAGCGCGGCGCCGGCGCCGGTGCGCACGTCGTCGGTGGTCCAGCCGGTCGCGTCGTACGACCAGGAGCTGCTCGTGGCGGCGCGCGCGAGCCTAGTAGCGGGCGACGTGTGTGCCTTGGTCTCCCACCCAGCACTCGAGAGGAGGAGAGGACACGGACTCCGCTGTCTTCACACCCGCATTCCACTGTGCTGTCGGCCTCTCCCTCCGTTGTCTTCACGCGGTGCTCTGAAGACTCTTGCACAGTACCGTAAGCCCGCCCTGAGGTTGGCGCATCAACGTAGGCGCGAGAGCTCGACCGTTATGCCCAGCAGCCCCCTTGATGCTTACTGACCGGCGAGGTCGCTGTGAATGAAGGTGCGAAAGTTCAACCTCAAGCCGCGCGACGGCGTTCAGTACCTGCAGCTGCGCGGTTTCCTGTCTGCGGAGCCGGCAGACATCCCAGATCTCCCCAGATCTCCCCAGATCTCCCCAGATCTCCCCAGGCACGGCAGACATCGCTCTCGCTTCCTGCACGAGAGACGAGGCGGCCTCTCTCTTCTGTGATTGGATTGGGCCTACCGGGTCTGGTAGGGTGACATCGCGCGCTTCCTCCACGAAACGAAGGGCCTCTCGAAGCGAAAGCTCGGCGACTACCTCGGCGAGCGCGGCGAGCGGCACGCCGAGCTCCTCTCGGCGTACGTGCGCCGCTTCGACTTTGCCGGCCTCTCCTTTGTCGGGGCGATCCGCGCCTTCCTCTCCCCCTTCCGGCTGCCGGGCGAGGCGCAACGGGTACCGACCGGCGGCTGTGAGCAGCGTCTCCTCACACCTCCAGCTGTGAACAGGCGAGGCGCAAAAGATCGACCGCATCATGTGCGAGTTCGCCTCGCACTTTGTCAGCCAGGTCCTGAGCCCCCCACCCCCACCCAGAGACTCACGAGCGCGCCGAGACATCCGGCCTTTTCGATGACTACATTTTCGCTGGGGCACCCGTCAGGCCAGCAGTATTGCTCGTCAGCGGATTGCAATCCCCCGAACGCAGCCATGTACGAGACAAGCTACTGGAACTGGCACGAGAGCCACGGGAGCGGCGGACTCCGCGAGCAGCCGGTCTTCTCAGACACAAGATTTGCCTACGGTTCGAAGTTTAGTGACGACATGCGATATTGCTCCCCCGAGAGCTACGAGAAGAGCTACCGGAATGCCGCGCTCACGAAAAACCGG